GCCATACAAAGAAGCCCAACTGGGTAGCAGTTTGGAAGACTTTTGAGCACATAACCTTATTGGGCCTAAAGCCCATTTCGAACTGGGCTGATTTGATCAGTCATTATTAAGAGGCAAATCTGAGATTAGGATGAGCCCAAAAGCTTATCTATTCTGCAGATAGGATTAAGATGAGTCCTAATTCAAATACTGATTTGGATAAGGGGCAACTCCTGATATGATCAGGAAATCCTTTCTTAATCATTAAGCAACTGGAGGAAACCCTAATCGAATTACAAGAATTCGAACCCTAGGGAGACAGAAAACATCCTGCAGTTTTGTGAGTGTAAAGAACACTGATGTGGGCCCCACAGCTGTGGTCCCACTCTGTCTGTAGGGTAGAATGTACCTAGTCTTCCTAGGGTTAGCTACTGTTATTCGAGTTGTTGTTATTCTAGTTACTTATTTTTCAGTATTACATTATTATGTGTTATGTAAATACCAAGGGCAGATGTGTCCTTTTATGTAACTAGCATAATCTATATATATTAAATAGAAGTGGTGGTGGCAAAATGATTTAGATTCTGTCCTTCCTTCCAAAGTTTGTGTTCTACTGCTCTCTCCTCTCCAAACCTGAAATTTATTAGTGCTCAAGATTGATAGTAGTCTTGAACAACTACATGGTATCAGAGCCAAGTTAGGGTTTCTCATGTGAGTCTAGTACCAGCCGACCACATGTGAATCTCCTAGGACTGGAAGCTGAAAAGGTGGAGTTCGCAGACTGATTCTTGGAGATCGCCAGAAGGGCTGGCAGCTGTTGAAGGCTTGCCACGGTTGCAGAGTGTTGGTGGTCAGGAAGGATCAGAGAAGACTAGGGTTTGGGTAACCTTGGAAGGCAGCAAACACTTTTTCCTTGTAAGTTATTTATTTTCTAAGAGAAGTTCTATCAGAGAAGATAGATTGGATCTATTTGGAGAGGGCGGTCGAACCATTCTAGGGTTTTCTCCCTTCGATTCTCTAGGGTTTTACAGTAAACCCTACTGTTGGGCCGAACTGCCTTAGCTTTGTTTCTCTCTACTCTAGGGTTAGAAAGTGAACCTTGCAATCTACCTGGAGCTGCCCCCAAGTTTGTTGTTAGCATTGATCAGATTCTAGGGTTTCATATTAACCCTACTGCAAGTCTATCTATACGGTACTGATTGGATTGTGCAACTGAACTGTGCACTTTAAGGATTGGTTAAAACCCTAATTCTGCCAAGCATATCAGACTTACCT